TTACTGTCCTTTGATTTTGTATAGCGCCAGGCATTCACAGATCCATGGGTGTGGCATTGAGTCATAGGCTCTCCTGTAGTCAATCCAGGCTGTGCTCAGATTGGTCTGTCTAGACCTTGAATCTTGGATGACTGCTCTATCTATGAGCAACTGATGTTTTGAGCCTCTGATGTTATTCCCAATGGCCTTCTGAGCTGTGCTCACATACTGGCCCATATGGTCCTGTAGCTTGGTAGCTATGATGCCTGATAGGATGTTGTGAGGAGGTGGGTTATTGTCTGATAGTTGGTGTTTCATGATCAGCACCGTCCTTCCCTGTGTTAGCCAGTCTGGGTGGGAGCCTGCTGCTAGCAGCTAAGTCATCTGTGCTGCTAGGCATTCATGCACTGCTGTTAGTTTCTTTAACCAGTAGGTGTGGATCATGTCCTGCCAGGTGCCCTCCAGCTCTTCATGTTCTTGCCTTGCTGTTGGAAGTCTGCTACTGTTATGGTGACTGGTTCCTGTTCTAGAAGATTGCTACGGTCTGCTCTCAGGTCCTATAGCCACTTTACACTGGTGTTTTGTGTCTTCTCTTTCTCCCATATGTTCTTCTAGTACTGTTCAGTTTTTGCTGTTGGTGGCTCTGCTGTTACTGTGTTGTTGCACTGCAGTTGAGAGTACACCTTACATGGTTCTTTGGGGAACATGGCATTTATCTTCTTGGCCTTTGCTTCTCTAGTGTATCTCCTTAGCTGGTTAGCCAGTGCTATGACCCTTTTTTTAGCAGTCTCTAGAGCTGCAGATGGAGTTGGGTCCTTGTATTTTTTCAGTAGCCAAGTCTTATCCTTAATCTCCACACCCTTCTGTAGTTCCACCAGCTGACTAACTTCTCTCCATGTTGCCTTGATCTTAGCCTCCAATGTCATTTTGGAGGGTGGGTGGGTGGGTGGTGGGATGTATTGCTGTTCTTCTTGATTGAGTAGCCAAGCATCTCCAGGATTACAGTGGCTGTAGCATATACCAGTTCATTGGTTTGAGTTATGGTGGTAGTTGGGATTGTTGTGAGGGCTCTATTGGCATCTTCTAGCATAATCAGTCTCGAGGGTTGACTGTAGCTAGTTTATCCATGATCTTATAACTTGTATCAGCTGCTATGTTCTGTAATGGAGGAGGTGGCAGTGACATTTCAGCTTCAGGTGTTGGCCACACATCCATTTGGTCTTCTTGAGTCTGGGATGTAATGTGTAATAGGTTTATTTCAAGTTGTGAGAGCAGTTTCCTCTTCACTACGTTGAAGTGTTGGGTAACTAGCTGCTTGTCAGGTAGTGTGGATGTAGCTCTTCTGTCCATCCATAGTTCCCTAATACATTTCATATATCTGCTCTCATTAGGTTTACTGTTGTAGTAGAAATCCATCAATTCCAGGTTCTTTTGTCTTGTTCATGTATGGCTTGTTCTAGTAGCCCAGATTGTCCTGGTTCCCCAACATCTGACCTTGCTAATCCGGGCAATGTCCGAGCCAGCATGACTCTCTTAGTTTGTATCACTCTCATATCTGAGGTAGGCAGTGAAACATTAGGGGGTCTTTGCCAAAAGACCCCTGCTGGTAAGGTAGGTACCAGGTGGGATTCAAACCTCAGTCTCCCACATCAAAGGATGGCACTCTAATCACTAAACTATCCAGCCATTCCAATCCATATGTATCCATATATATGTGAATGAACAAAGTACAGGGGCAGAGAGAAAAAACCTGGAAAATTATTGACCTGTTGTTGAAACAGCTGAACAAAGGAAGATAATTCTCAGTGAGTTTGACAAAAAATTATATTCTGTAAATATTGAAGTATCTAGTAAATGTGTGGATGAAGTACTCAGATGAACATTGGATCTTGCTCCCTCTTGGCAATTCTGGCTGAGAAGAATCTATTCTGGAAGGTGTTATGTGCTGTTCTTAATGAATCCCCTTCCCAGGAGATAATGCCATCTTCTGTGAAGGAAGCACTGGTGGGCCCTGTCAGAAAAAAATCTCTACATTCCTCAATTTTTAACACTTATATATCAGTTTCTAACTTACTACTCTTGCATGACCAAGGTAATTGAGTGGGTGATGACTAAAGAGTTCCAGGTACTCCTGAATGACACTTATTATCTAGATCTGATTTACACCAGTTTCAGACCAAGATATGGCACAAAGGTTACTGGACATCCTGATAAATGATCTGGTGAGAGGCATAACAGGGGAATATGTCTCTTTTTATACTCCTGAATCTCTGGATGTCCTGTAATACATTGATAATGGTGTCTTCCTGAACTCCCTGAATTGGTAGTCAGTTATGGTCTTTTCATGGTTCCTCTCCCACAGAAGTTTCCACATAGTAACACTGAGGGATTTCTACTTTTTCACATAGTCTCTGGACTGGGGTGTGACACAGGAATTCTATTCTGTCCTCCATGCTTCTTAGTATTTATATGAAGCTGCTACCTGTGATAGACAGGAAATGTGGCATTGGGTGCCATATTTATTTGGATAACATCCAGATGTATTTCACATTTTAATCTTTACTAGGTGTGTTAGTTCCTTCCTAGATCAGATTGCAACCTAGCTGAAGTATAACTAAAACTGAATATGAAAAAAAAAAAAGTGAGATTGTTGATCATAATTGTTAAATGGTTATATTGTACATTTAATCAATATTTATCTTTTCTGTAAACTGCCCAGAATAATTTTTTAACGAGATGGCCAGTGACAAGTTTGATATATAAATAAATATATATAAATAAATAACTCTACCCAACTGTAGAGGTCTTTACCCGCTATGGATGGGGTTGTGCTTCTCTTGAAAGCCAATTCTAGTCTCCCACTCTTGGGGATACTTTTCAGTTTCACATCAACTCTGTATGTTGACTGTGTGTAGTGCTAATCTAAGAGTTCAAAAGAAACCTAAAAGTTTGCAATACTTGCACAAGTAAGCATTCTGTTTTCAACCTTAACACGTTTATTATTTCTATGGAGGTTGCTTTGGATTTTATGTATGTTTTAATTGTTATTATTATTGTTTTACTGTTTTATATGTCAAGCACTGTGATTTAATGTTATTTATTGTACTGTGAGCAGCAGTGGGCTGCTGTTCCGGGAGTCTTTAAGTATAAATTTGACAATAAATAAGTACAAACTATTCAAACTTTTTCAGACAAGGTTATTTAAGTAAGACTGAAAGCCCAATTAGTTGTTTTAGCAAAGGAAACTACTGTATTCATTGCAAAAACCTGTAGCAGAAGAATGACTGGAGGAATACTTGATAGTATGGCAGTCCATGTTAATATGTTAGAATGAGTGACAGGTAGAGAATATAATTTGAGAAATCAATCTGAAGATGGAGCTGAATGCAGGAAGAAGTCAGGGATATTCGAGAGAGAAATTAGGTGGGAGAGAGGCAGATGATATTAACAGCTGACAGATGAAATAGCAGTAAAAAAAAATAATAAGGTATTAAGATGGTTACCACACAAAACTATTACTTCTTACTTTGTAACAAATGACCTTGTTTTGGATGTTACACTTCCAAATTAAAATTTAGTGATAACTAACTGCTGTGTTATTATCTGACAGGTTCTAGGAACAACATATTTCACCCCGTATGCTATCTTTGATATATAAATTCTAAACCAACACACAAAGGAATCTGGATCCTTCCATTTGGTTATGTTTTAAAAAACCCATCATCCTTGACAATGCTGACTGGACTGGAATCAGTGGACACTCTTCCTGTGAAAAGATTATTATAGAGCAGTGGAGTCTGCAGGGTGGGTAAACAGAGTCAAGATGGTGGTTGTGGCAGCATGAATGAAGCTCTGCTTCTTTATAAATCCACCTGACACCAACACATGTACGAAAGGGGCAGGGCTTCAACTATGTTGCTGTGACCATCATCTTGTCTTTTTCCCCCCAGGCAGATGTCACATTTATTTATGTATTTATTTACACAGCTTAGAGGCCAGCTGACTTCTAACAACAACATATAGGTCAGCCTACATTTAAAAAACAGGAATACATATCACATGCATCCAGAAAACAAACCATACATGAAACAAATCATCAGATGGGGGCTCAATAACTGCTCTACCACAAGGCCTGAGGAAGTAGCCAGATTGTCAATGACTTTACGAATGTGATCAGGTTGGAAGCCATATGGATATTGCTGGGAGGGTGGGTGGGGGTGGAAATGTTGTTCCAGAGACCAGGTGCTGCCCAAGAGAAAGCATCCTTCCTAGATCCTGATAGATAACATTGTTTAATTGAAAGGACCTGAACTGCAACCACTCAGCCCAATCTTACAGCACAGTCATACTCTATCAAAGACAGGCAGTCCCTTAAATAAACAGGCCCATGCCATTCTCTGATGTGAAACAACCTATTCTCTGTACCTCAGTAGGTGGTGGAAGCAGATTATTTTGCTTACATTTAAGGAAAGTAACAGTGGAACACTGTTTCTCAAACTTGTCAACTTGTCAACCATGCTGGCTGGGGAATACTGGGAGTTGAAGTCCATACATCTTAAAGCTGACAAGCGTGAGAAACACTGAACAATGGAAAGATTGAGTGATTTACCCAATGATTTCCAGTGGCCAAGAAACCCATGGCCCTTCAAAGAAGTCTTCCCTACCTCAGTGGTGGAGCACACGCCTTGCTTAAAAGTTCCCAGTTCAGAAACCGTTCATTGCTGAAGTCTATAAGAGGGGCTAGAAGGTATTTCTAATTTTGGTGCGGACATATGGGCTTTCTGAAAAAAAACATTTTTTAACTTTCATACACTTGATGAGAAATTTAGACTACCCCACTCCTGCTCTTTAAAATACATACACATACACATACATTATTCCCCTTGCACAAAATCTCTTCCTTCCTGGATCCAACTATTATTAATACACATGTATGCACACCCTGCACTATAGTAAAATTAATTTCAGGCCAAACAATGTTTATGGAGAAAGAAGTGATGCAGAATACCATTTTTTTTTACCTGTTTCTATTGCTGGAGATCCAGTCAGAGATTAGAGTTGCAGCCTGCTGGTGGCAGTGCTTGTTACCAAAGCTGCAAGCCAGCATAATCACTTCACGGCGGAACTCCCTGGATATCCCAAAGGCAAACAAAACTAGCATTAACCTGATGTTAATAAATGTATTCAGAGTTTCAGGTGAAAATACATCACTGTTTCCAGGATCTAAACCAATGTTTCTCAAACTTGTCAACTTGTCAACCATGCTGGCTGGGGAATACTGGGAGTTGAAGTCCACACATCTTAAAGTTGACAAGTGTGAGAAACACTGATCTAAGCTAATATTTAACAAGGACAAACATATGAACAATGTGTTAACAATGATGAAGCAGAAGTTATGGCATTTAGATTGCCATGAAGCCAGTGAGTTAAAACATGAGCACCTCAGCCTACCAGATGTTCTATTGCCAAATGCAGCCAGAATTTAAATTATTGCTTAGAAACAATTATTCCTTGAAATTCTAGGGAGAAAATGCAACATCATAATAGGAAATATGAATTTAGAAAACAAGAGGCCCAGTCCTATCATTTAAACCTCACAATGAGCTCATGTCCCAAATAAACAGAAGATACAAAAGTTAAATCTTATTATCACTTTGAATTAAGTTTAGGAGATTCAGTTTATTATAGCTATTTTGCAACAATTAAAAAAAAATAGAATATTACTCATGCTGGTAGGAAGCTTGAACAAAAGACTTCTCCAAATTATTTGTTGGCCATCCCAGCTTAAGATACATTGAAGCAACTTGTCTCAAAATGTATTCCTGAAACGGGAAAAACTTCTCTGCATTAAATATTTTCACAGTCAATGCTGATGTTGCATCTAGTTCAAAGCAAGCAAATGTACCACAGATCACCCCCTTCCCCCTTTAGAAAGAGTTACTTTAGTCTACATTACGCATATCATCCTCCCATGCATGCTGAGTTTTATGAATGGAAAGAGGAGGGCCACCTTTTATAACTGCTGTAATTGAGTGGGCTTCTTTTCCTGTCCAGGACTACTTTAACTTTGTGTTCCCAGTGCCATAGCTAACACTTGTGTCTTAAATTAATTACCCGCCCTGAAGATAGCTAATGTTAGACAGTAAGCTGATTTTCTTAATTAATAAAGGAATAACACACTTAAAAGAACAAACAAAAAGAATGTCTTTGACTGTATTCCTTGGAAATTCAAGTTCCAGACACAAACCTAGGAATTATTCAAGTAATGTAGTAAGACATAACATGCCCAGCAAGGTTTTTTTTTTTTTTTTTGGAAAATCTGCAATTGATATAGCTAAAATATTGTCTTCTTGTTAAAAAAAAAAAAAAGTGAAATCTGTTTGTTATTCTGCCTAATGAGCCAATAACTATAGAGATGGCTTTGCAAAATCTTTTCCATAGTCTACATATTCTAATAATGAGTTATTTATATTTTAAAACTTTTTCCAATTGTTTTTTCTCAATCCCTAGTTGTTGCCACATCTAAAAATTACTCTTTTCAATTAGTATTATATATGGTGTGTTGTGTTCTAGACAGTGATCAGTTTGTATGCCAAAATCTCATTAAAATTATCATCTTTTTCAGCAACTTGCTCAATTTTATGTTCATACAAAATGCAGAAAAGTCAGAAATTATACTTTTTGCACCAATACCAATGCATCATAGTGGCTACTCTCGACATAATGTTGTTCATAATCAGTCTGAGCAATTTTGTTTCAGTCACTAATTACATGCTCCACAGCTTCAACTTTTTCTTTACGAAGTCTGCATATGATATCAGAAATTGGATTGTTGTTTTTATTGTTGTTATTCAACTTTCTACAGATAAATTAATGTTCATGGTCAGGCTGGTAAATCAGTGGAGGATTTAAGAGGGTGCAAAATGCTGCAGAAGGAAATAGAAACTGGAACAAGTTACTTGCCTCCTTTGACTAATAGAGTTCATACAAACTAGATTTCTTTCTGAAATAACTAGCTTTAAAAGCTCCTTGTGCTTAGACGTGTTAAATATTTGCTATGGCAGGCTATCCTTGACTTTGAAGTACATGTTTCAGTAATGTCCATTATTAAATATTTACAAGTGACACTTTTGGGCCACATATTGTGATGAAATTGATAAGTAGTCTTCACGGATGTAGATTTATAGGTGTGGTGGCAAAATCACTACAAAGACACAGCCAATTGATGTAATATTGAATATGTGAGCTGCATATCAAGATTAGACAGTTTAATGAGATCTGCATTTCAGTGTCCTTTTAATTGTTGGCATTTTTAAAAGCAATGACAAGGTGACAAGTTTTCTACTTTTGACCCTTTACTTTCTATGCTTTTATAATATATGACTTTGTCATCAAAGTTATACTGCAATTTCCTTATTATCAGGCCAGCCTGTTAAAAGCAACATAGAGGCAATATAATTTTTAAAAAAGTATTTTGCATTATATTAATATAGTCCAAGAGCAGATAATATTTATTTACATATCAACAAAATCAGCTGCATGTTATTAAGATGAAACGATATACGCAGATCTTGGCTCCAGAGACTCTGGAAGAAAGTGATTATCTGGACCCTTTTGAGTCAGGTTTTGGACAAGATTATAGTATTGAGATGGCACTGATTACATTTGGGCTTTGGATACATCTCCACTTTTGCTATACATCCACTTTTGATACCATTGATCATGGCATCCTTCTGGGCTGGCTTGGGGGATTGGAGTAGAGGGCTAGGTTTTGCAGTGGTTCTTCTTTTCTGAGGCTGCTTCTACTTAGTGATGAAAGAGGTACTCCTCTAGACCCCTGCACTATAATAGTGTACCCACTTCTGTTTAACATGTATATGATACCACTTGCCTGAGGTCTTCTGTTGGCATGAAGTATCATCAGTATGATTGTTAGTTGTACATTCCTGCCCTGGGCTGTCCAGGTAATGCTGTCAAGGTTCTTTCCCAATGTCTAGCAGCTACAGAGTAGGGGGGGGGGGGGGGGGTTAGAACAGTGCTTGGCTTAATCCTAGAAAGACTGAGTGGCTGTGGGTGCAAGGGCCCCTTGTATCTGGAGATTTCCCAACGCTGACCTAGAAATGGTGGCATTTACCCAGATAGAGTTGGTGTGCAATTTGGTAGTCCTGTAGCATTCACGGGTTCTGCTTGAAAAGGTGGCAGCCATGGCTAGGAGGACCTTTGTAAAACTCCATCTTCAATGCCAATTGTGCCTGTTCCTGAATCAGAAAGCTCCACTCATGGTCATTCATGTCTTAGTTATCTCCTAAGTTGGACTACCGCAACGTGTTCTACATAGGGTTGCCCTTAAGAACATTCAGAGGCTGCAACTGGTCCAGAATGCAGCAGCACATGTGGTTTTAGGTATAACGTAGTATAGACATACAACACCACTACTTTGCAAGCTGCACTAGCTCTCAGTAGGTTTCTGCATGTAATTCAAAGTGCTGGTTATGATCTATAAAGCTCTACACAGGATCAATTTATTTGCAGAACTGCCTGTCTCTAAGCGTCTCTGCTTGTTCCACCAGATCTGGCAAGGTAGGTATGTTCCGAATCCCTTCTGTGAAAGAAATGTCACCTAGTAAGATCTTCTCTGTTGTGGTGCCTGCCCTATGGTTCAGTATCCTCCCTGATATCTGGATGGCCCTGACCCTATTAGCCTTCCATAAAGCCTTGAAGACCTGGCTTCTCCCTCCATCACTGGGCCAGGATGTCTGCTGAGCCCTGTGTATAAGAGTAGTTTAGTTTCTTTTCATATAGTCTGCTAGAAACATTGCATTGTTTATGTGTGTTTATTGCTTTTGTTTATAGATATTTAAATTACTTAAAAAAAAAATATTGTGTTTTGTTTTGTTTCCAAGCATTTTTAGACACCCACAGTCACTATGTTGAGATGGGCAGCCATATAAATCAATCAATCAATCAATCAAACAAACAATCCTCCAGTGGTATGTCAGTTATTCCTGAGAAAAATAAATGTGTAGCATTTTTCCCTCTCAGCTCTTAATTGATAAAAGAGAACCATCTAGAAATGCATTTTTACCTTTTTTTAAATTAGAATTGCAGTTTTGCAAAAGTCAAACTAAACAGGATTCCATAATGAATACATTAGAATGGTAGGCAATACGAAGCTGACAGACCTCTCATTTATTCCTGCATTTTATAACAGAGAGTATGCTTACATAGAGTGCAGCATCTACTGATAATGTTAGTAAGACAAAGGAATTTAGGAATGTGTTTAAACATGTGTTACAACATGCCTACGTCATCATGATGTTTTTGACATCTTTACTCAGGTCTGCAAAAGAAGCCCATCAAAAATCCAGGAAAGTTGCTCCCAATTAGTGCAATTAGAGCTACTGTATAACAGTGATACTGACTAAGAATAAAATAGCTTTCTGTGTTCCTAATGTGGCTCAAATAATGTATTTCCTTTTTAGCAGACTTTTTTACCAGGGTAACTATGGGTATAGTGGTCATTAGTCTTCCTGATATTTGTGTTGCCCTGTTGTCAGTTGGGTGGATAACTGAATTAAATAGCAATACAATTGGTAATGAGAAAAAGTGAACTCCATACAGCATTTGGATTGAAATAATGATGGCAGAGTAGGACTCCCAATGAAATCAACAGATTTTAAGAACGCTTCAGCTTTGCTGATGAACTAAATTCTGTAAAACCTTCTTACATAACCAAAATTGTATGAAAATATTTCTTATTTATTTAATACAGTCCACCCATCTTATACAATACTTTATAACATAAAAATGTTACTTTTCTCTTAAGCTAATGCAATTTATATCCCAATAAACAGTTGTGGATTTCAACTTCTACCACCCGTAGCTATCACAGCTAGTTGCAAAGTACAATAGGAGGATCCAAAATATCTAGAAGACATGGGGTTGCCTACTCCTGGAAAATGACTAAATTACATTTGATGTTCCCCTTAACTGATATACAGAGTCCTAGTAGGGAGGACTATACTTCAGTGGTTGGTAAAAAGGAAGAAATGAATATTTACATTGAACATGTTGTAGTTCTCCGTGCGGTCCAGCAACTTATCTAGAGGATAAAGAGCTCGGCTAGCAGCATGCCAAGGTAGAAATTCCTTTTCCTTTGATAAATATCTGATAATCTCAAGTGGAATATTCTGGGGCAAATAGCCAGCCCTGTATAGAGACATTATTATAATTATTGTTTGGGGAAAAAAGTGCCTGATGATGCTAGAAACCAAGATAGACTTGTTTACATATACATACAAGGGAAAAAGTAGGATCATTTTTTCATGTTATATAATAATTTCAATATTATTTTTAACATTTTCAATGTGCCAAGTGCCTTTTAAAATGAATCCCTAAATCACAGTATCTCTAATTTAAATTAAATAATCAATACATGTTTAAATGTAAGTTCATACAATTTTGTAAAATAAACGAAAGGGGTTAATTTGGGGGGCAAGAGCATTCAGGTAATCTCAGTCACAAAATATATAGCAATATATTAATTATTCTTCCAAACCATAATTTATAACATAATTTAAACATTCACAAGTGTTTGCTGCAGTAAATCTTTGCAGTTCACTGAGGTGATCAGAAGAAGCAGGCTGTAACACATTGTTCTTGTTTTTTAATGCTTAGTTTAAAGGGATTGTCATCTTCTTCTTACATTCTCCAAAATTGTTTTGCTGAATTTACTATGATATGTGAGAAAAGGAAAATAATATGCATTGTTATTTTTCCACAATTTCATAATTATTTATGAAAACTTGATATCCATATGGATATGCAATCCTCCTTTGCTACCTCCTCTTTTTTTCATTGCATACTGACTTCGGAGCAAAAATTCTGGGACACAGAAGCAAATTTTCTGATACAATATTCTAGTCTGTGAGTAACTAAATTAGAGTTTTCCAATTTGAAAAGAGGGAACTGTATCTTAATACTCATTATTTGTTGTATTCTGAATTTCTCCAGGAGCTCAAGGCAGCTTACATGGGAATTTCTCTTAATTTTACAGGTGAAACTCGAAAAATTAGAATATCGTGCAA